ACACAGAATAACTCCAGCTTTGTGTCTTTTTCTATTCTAGCTGAAGTACGGGACAAACTGTGTTCCTTTTCAGCTCAATACAAAACGTAATATTTTCTCTGAATACGTGACGATTCCGTTTTTTTTAATGGGACGATTCCGTTTTTTACGGGACGGTTGGCAACTCTACTAACTAACCTTATGAATAAACAGCACAGAGGCACTAATCATAGCAGCACAGGAACAAGCTCTGAGCACAAGATCCATAGAGGCTGGGGTCTATCACACCAGGCAAGACCCCAGGTGCAGGCTGTGTAAAGATGCCCCTGAGACAATCCAGCACAGAAGTGCAGGGTGTAAGAAGCTAGCAGGCAGGGCATACATTGAACGCCATAACCAAGTGGCCAGCATAGCAAACAGGAACATCTGTGCCATGTATGGCCTGGAAGTCCCAAGATCAAAATGGGAGACGCCCCCAAGAATGGTGGAGAATGGCCGAGCTAAGATCCTGTGGGACTTCCAGATACAGACAGACAAAATGGTGGTGGCTAACCAAGCTGGAAAATTACCAAGTGCTCGGAGAAGAGCTCAAGAAGATGTGGAGGGTGAAGGTAGCAGTGGTCCCAGTGGTAATCGAAGCACTTATTGCAGTGACTTCCAAATTAGGCGAGTGGCTCCAGCAGATCCCAGGAACAACATCAGAGATCTCTGTCCAGAAGAGCGCAGTCCTGGGAACAGCTAAGATACTGCACAGGACCCTCAAGCTCCCAGGCCTCTGGTAGAGGACCCGAGCTTGGAGGATAAAGACCGCCTAAAGGGGCGAGAGGGGAATGCATTCGATCTCGAACAAAGCACTAAAAGGATTTTGTTATGTTAAATAGATGGATACTTTATTGAGCCCATAAGGGAATCTTTTGTGTTACAACAGCATGATAAAGTAAAAATAGTAGAGTCTACAATACACAACAATAAACAACACAGTTAAAATAAGAGTGTCACAGGTGTCCAATAAGGGCCTTATATTATGAGATATAATTCCTGCAGTATACAACAGTGACAAAAAACAATGAAAAGTAAAAATGGTTTAAATAGTAAAGTAACAGTTGGTTAAAAAAAAGTAAACGTAAGACTGGCGTTGTGTAAGAGAGAAGTGTAAGTTGCATTTAATAAATAAAATGTAGACTATAAATCTGCCTTAGAAGTGTGGAGTAGAGCAGGTGCGATGGGTTATCCATGGTGGAGCACAGTCCCGTCTCTCAATGACTCAAATGCCTCCAAGTTCTGATTTATGATGCTTCCAGCTTTGCGGATTACTTTATTGATCCTACTGCCATCTCCAGCACTGACGTATCACTGCAGAACCCACCCACCCTGGCAATGGACTGTTTAAAATGCTTCCATCTGGTAAGCAGTATAGAAACATACAAACACGCACCACCAGACTGAGGGAGAGCTTTTTCCCCAGATCTGTGAAATACATCTAAATTCTATTTGTGACTTCCTGCACACATAGATAGTGTCCATTCAACTGTTTTATAGTGCACCTCAAATCAACTCCATGCCTTTTATTTGCTAAACTGACAATGACATAATGAAGGAATTGCCCACACCTGGCCATGGAATCGACTTTGAGTCAATTAGCTAATTACTTTTGGCACGTGTTAAGGAGCAAAAACTCTTAAACCCTTCACCCAATTTGAATGTGGATACCCTCAAATGGAAGCTGAAAGTCTACACATTGTCCATATCAGTTATATAACTGTAATTGGAATATGTTTCTGTAAACACGTATTTTTTAAAAACAAACACACAAAATTAAAAAAAACTTGTGTCTGATGTGTGCCGAGGTACCAAAACAAAACTTCGTTATGTGTGAACATATAATGACAATAAAAGATGCTTGCTCTTCTTCCAGACTTCTCCACATAGTTCCTCACCACTCCTGCCCAACCTTAAAGACGTGGTCGGCAATCCAGAAGACAGGAGAAGTGGTGATACCCACCCCGAGCAGCTTCTCACTTGAATTGTTTTTCCTTGGAAAGACAAGTAATATGATTCTCACAATGCTACCAGTTCCACGCATGTGAAAGCGAGCATGTTGCAACAGGCAGATAACAGCATCATCCACCCCACAAGAGGCTGGTAAGTGAACCGAAGAGTGCTGAGAGCATGTTTCACCTGGAAGCTAAGTCGGGCAAGAACCAGTCTCTCCAGCACCTTGATGACATGTTAACGTCAAGGTAACTGGTCTGAAGTCAATCAGACCTGATGCGACCAGGGTCTGTAGCTTTGCTTTGGTGTAGTCCCTACACTTACGCTCTTAGCTGGACACCAATCACTAGGGATGGGTACCGGTATCTGGTGCCATTATGGCACCGGTTCTGACATAACCGGTAGTAACCAGACCGAAAAGCAGCGCACATTTCGGTGCTTTTTTTTTCCCTTGAGATGTCATACACTTTGGATTCTAGCCAATCATTTTACCTTTCCAAGGATAGTAGGCGGTACGTATGTTCTTTTAGAGCAGAGCTACAGATTAAAAATGGTCAAAGCGGTCAAAAGTCTGGCTGTACACAGCAAGAGATGCAAACTCAGCAGCCTGCAACAAGTGCTTTAAGGTGATAGCTGCAGAAAAGGCTAACATTATTATCCTTTTACAAAAAAAAAAAAAAAACACAGCTAAACATGAGAGGTTTTAGGACAAAGTTTGTGTTTTCCATTGTTTAAGCACCGGTTCCAACCAAAGGAGGTATGTTGTATCAACAGAAAAGGCTAACTTGGTTATCATTTTGCAGAAAAAAAAAGAGACTGCTAAGAGGTTTATGGACAAAGTTTGCGTTCTCCATTCTTTAAGCACCGGCACCGTTTCAAAAGTACCAGTTTGGCACCGGTATCGGATAAAACCTAAACAATACCCATCCCTACTATCACAGTCCGGTATGAGGACTGGCAGCAGGGGGCCCAGTACTGACCCTGTTAGGATAGAGAGTCAGTTCATTGTTCGTGTTGTGTGCAGGCTACTGCCAATTTATCTGATTGAGGGCATCAGCTGCATCTCTCCACACCTCTTTGGTGTTATTCAGATGGACTTTGGTCTGTATGCATCTACACCTTATTAGCCCCACATTCAACTCAATTCAGCAGGGCCTTCTTGTCAATGTTGATCCAGGACTTATTGTTGGAAAAACAGCATACAGTCCTGGCTGGGATTCTGTTCAATTCAATTTTATTTATACAGCGCCAAATCCCAACAACAGTCACCTCAAGGCGCTTTAGGTATCTTCACAGAAATGTATGTAGTCAGTGATGCAGTTGATGTCAACCCCATGTGGATCACAGAGCATGTCCCTGGCTGTAGTCCTGCAGGGGCTCTGTCTTCCTTACCTTGCCTTCTCACAGATTTGTTGGCAAGAGGAAGTCTTAGAAATGGAAGAACTGCGCGTGTTCATCGTTATAGCAACACAGCTGAGCGTCCCATGACGTAATTAGTATGTGACGCGCACGCTACAAAGTGGACATCGAGGCGACGATATGCCTGCTGCTCAGTCTGTGGACCATGGCGTTGTTTTTTCTAGCCATTTCCTTTGTTGCCAGGTTTTAAAAACGGCAGTTTTGATTTTCATGAATGAGACACTCTCGTGACGCCACTGACTAGCCAACTGGTGGCATGCAGTCTGTTGACGTCACATTTTGGGATCATTTGGAACCATGGCCAAGTAGGTGCTAAAAAAAGGACCTGTTACCTGGTACTATGACCTAATGGCAAACCCTGAAAACTGTGACGAGCCAACCTGAATAGGTACTAATTGAAAAGGGGCTTAAGTGTCCTGTATGATGACACACAGAAGGACTCTTTATTTTTTTTTATTTTATTTTGTTTTTGCATAAATGGATAACAGTTTGCTGGTAAATTGCAAACTGCATCCAGGACAAATAACCATGTTACACTGCTAACTTCATCTCTTTTAAAGTACCTGCAGAAAACATGCAGACACAGAGCTAGCCAATGAAAAAGCTGAGTGCATGCTGACCCAGAACCATGTGTAACAAAAGGATGAACAGTCAGGCTTGAGCACTGTAGCCTCTATTTCTACCTATACGTGTGTTTCTATCGGGCGATCGTGGCTCAAGAGTTGGGAGTTCATCTTTTAATCGGAAGGTTGCCGGTTCGAGCCCCGGCTTGGACAGTCTCGGCTGTTGTGTCCTTGGGCAAGACACTTCACCCGTTGCCTACTGGTGTGTGTGAATGGATATGTAAAGCGCTTTACTAGTCCTTAGGGACTAGTAAAGCGCTTTACATATCCGGCGAGGCTGCCGGACACTGGCGCCACCGGGCCCTCTGACCACCACCAGTAGGCATGGGGGGAAGTGTCTTGCCCACGGACACAACGACCGAGACTGTCCAAGCCGGGGCTCGAACCGGCAACCTTCCGATTACAAGGCGAACTCCCAACTCTTGAGCCACGATCGCCTCAGTATAAATACAGACATTTACCATTTCTACAGTGAAATCACTGGTTGCCATCTTTGCTTTGAGTTCTTATGTAAAAACTAAAAGATAGTGTGTATGTGTCCTCACGATATGCATTTGTGCTGGTGTGTGGGACTGTATTCTAATGTTTATATTGTTAGCTGCCAATTATACAAGCCTGCGTTTCAGCTCATTTTAGTGAGTAAAAAAGTAACAGAATTACTTTCTCTGGCAAGTAATGACTGTGCTGCATTATATTTAAGAAAAGTGTAATGATCAACACAGGACCAAAATATTTATTACACAGCATACTACGGGACTCTCACTACAGACCAGTCAGACATCCATATAACAGAGATATCCACTTACCTAGCTGGGCCTGATTGGACTCAGACATCTGTATGAGAGCACTGTCCTTCTTGTTGTAAAGAATTTTCACCCTCTGGACATCACCATACACTCCTGTGACAGACCCAGAAGCCGGCAATAGGAGAAGAGGTTGGGACGAAAAAAAGCAGGCAGTTAGAAAAATCTCAAGGTTTCACAGGAGACAAGGATATTTAAAAACAAGGTACAGCAGAGACGACAGCATAGAAACACAGGTTTATTTTAGACTGTAGAGTGTGAGGTGTATGAAAGTGTGTGAAAAAACAGATAAAGGATAAAGAAGAAGCACCCTCTAAGCAGAAACGTTATCAAGCTATGTGAGATGGCTAAAAATAAAAACAGCATGCAAAAACCAATGGCTTAGACATGCATTAACTTCTTACTAAGTAGTAAATTTTAGGGCAAAGTAATGACATGACATAACCCAAACCAATTAACAGGCGGTCAATGAGGATTCAAAATGACCAAATCTACAATCAGCAAACAAATATAGAGAAGCTTGTAATGCTAACAATGACAATATTAATAATAACTATGATAATAATAATAATAATAATAATAATAATAATAATAATAATAATAACAACAATAATAATAGTAACAACAACAACAAAAAGTCAGAATGAAAGTAGAATAGAAAGAGTAGATACAAGAAAGAAAAGTAGAGCTAAAGAAAGAAGAGAGAGAGAGCTAACGATAACATACCGAAGAGGGTAAACAGACTTTGGGGCGTAACCATCTTTAGAGGGAGAGAAGAGCAACAAGCAGCGTGAGACAGGTAGAGAGGTAGAAGAGTCGGAGCGGAGCGGAGGTAGAGATGGACAGATCGATCCAGAACGGAGGTAGGTAGGAGGAATGGTGGTTTTTGTTTTTCCCCGGAGAGTGATGGAGGTGGTGGGTCATGGAGGAGGGGAGCAAGCGGTGGATGAGGGGTCATGGAGGGGAAGAAGGGTTGGTTAATATGGGAGGAAGAAAGGGTGATTGAGGGTTATAAATTTATAAAATCCCCACCAGCACACGGAGTGAAGGTGGAGCAGGGTGGAGAGAGAGAGAGAGAGAGAGAGAGCGAGAGGGAGAGAGAGCGAGCGAGCGAGCGAGAGAGAGAGAGAGAGAGAGAGAGAGAAATCAGGGAGGCAAATGCAAATTTGGGTAAGGAAATTTAAAAAATGAGGAATGGGGGAGGGACAAAAAAAATAAAATACAGGTCAGTACACTGGAATAATGCAAGTAGTTTGGTCAGAGATAATGGCTTGGATCAATGTTGTCTTTGGAGAAAATAGAGCAAAGTTTTAAAAAAAAAAAAACTGGCTTTAATCCTAGACAAGCATGGGATAAAGGTACATTCATCTCAAATCATAATAACTCATTAATATTCAAACTCATTCACAACAATGGGACAAATAGAACATGCAGCAGCTGTGAGAAAACTGAATGTCTTTCAGCAATGGTGTGACACGAGTTCACAAGGAGATTAGATAGCATGCAGTATAAAAGGCAACAAAATCTTGCATGCAAGAGTTGATGTGAAGGCCACTTCAGTATAACATGGCATTCACACAAATCCACAAAGCTAAAAGAAAGCATGAGCACAGTATCTTAGCATCAGGGCTTTAAGTGGTGTAGATACTGTCCAAAGGCAGAATAACACAACCATTCACAGAGATGAGCAGAGCAGACAAGTCAGATGCCAAATCAGTTTAAACACACAAACCAAAAACAGAAGAAAAGGGATAAAAGAGCAAGCAGCAGGTGTTTGTTCCCAGGGCTTAGACACAGTTAGGAGACCACAGAATGATTTCATATGAGCTTTCATATGAGCTGAGGAGAGGTGAGGAGAGCTTAGAGAGAAAAAGAGAAGACAGACAGTTAGCAGAGTTAGATGCAGTTTGACAAGAGAAGGGAAGGCTTGATTATCAGAAAAGGAAAGAGGGGAGAGGGTTCGGGTGCCTATGAAATAAACGTCAAATCCTGCAGTCACCAAGTGGACCAAAAAAGGAAAAACAGGGGGGGAGAATAAGTTCTTGCTTTTAAGAACAACACAAAATTACAGTAAAGAAATGTTCATAGGAAAAGTATTTTATAAAACTAGACCTACAACAGGAGCCCAGATGTAGAACATCAACTGCTCCACACAGCTCAGTGATTACAATGAAAATGATGTCTACACACGCTGGTTAGGAGGTAACACATATAGGCAACAGGCTATCTGAATGCGAACAAATATTATACAATCAAAGGAACCTTTGGGAAACTACAGCTTACATAAAGGAAGCCTTGTTTTCCTGCAGTTCTAAGACTACAAAGTTCATGAAAACCAAACTGTGTGTTCAGTCTGTGTGTGTCTCACACAAAAGCAAAGTAAATTATCAAGATTAACAGATTCAAGTGTCAAACATGAGTTTTTTTATACACATCTTTAATGACAAGCACAAGAAAACAAATCTGGAAATAGAAAAACTGACCCACAGCGAGCAACAGAAAAAACAGGAACAGATGAATGGAGGTGGTGTGTAGGAGCGGTGGAGTTTTAATTGTAGACTTTCCATTTTACTGGTGTTACTGGTGTCAGTATTACTAACCTCTTCATTGAGGTTGCTAACCAGCAGGACCCCACTGGAGCCTGTCTGCCCAGCGAGGGCCACCCTGCCCGCTGCAGCAGCAGCAGCTGCCGCCGCACTCAGAGGGTTCAGAGCTCCTGACGGGAAGCAGACAGACAATCACGGAGTGGAAAATCATTAACGATGTTGATGATGGTGACAATACATCATGGGAAGAACACAGTACAACCCTCTCAAACCCTGCATGTCTGACCACACAAAACTGTTTCTTTGTACCATACACAAAGACATTTTCTACTGTCTGATACACTGGATGCACTTTATCATTGTTTTCCAAAAATGATCACAGTAACTGTAACAACCGCAGTAATGCAGCCCAGACACACTGGGTTGTGTTTCTCTTCCTCCTGTGTATCTATCACATGCGAGGTGCATGGTGTTACCCTCTTAAAATAATCTCAAAATAAGAATGTGGACATGTAGTTGTAGGAATAGTAGTTTTTGTTTCACCCAACCAACTCCTACCAGTGGCGTTTAGAAGCTGTGATTTCACACCAATAACCAGGGACACAGTTCAGCTTTGGAGCCAATCAAACTGAGTGCAGATCACAGACTGTTGTTCTACATAGAGATTGAAAATGTGACGTCACTCAGGGGTAAAACCGCAAAGGATTCTGGGAACTCGTGGCAAGAGGTACTAGCGCACGCAGGCTTTCAATTGAACTCAGTTACACAGCGATAAAAAGAAACACAAAAAATGTCAAGAAGCTGTTGTATTATTAACTGCAATAGCCGGTCGCATGACAGCCACGGGAAGCCGACGGGTAAAGAGATCGGTTGTTATCGGATTACGTCGTTGAAGAGAAATTTTTAAGCCATGTTTCCGAAGTAACAAAGAGCCGGCGGATGGTCTGGATATACCAAATATAACGTCTCAGAACACTCCAGCTCACAGGTTAGTCTGCTGTTGTAGTTAATGCGTCATTTTTCTTAACATAATTGGTGATATAGGTTACAAGCAAGTCTGGCGCTGAACAGAAATCATCGCGCTATGCTCCTTTGTTTATTGTGCATAAATAGTGAATTGTCCTGACACAATATTGCGTTTCGCTTCTGTTATTATGGTACATTGACAAAAACATATACTTTTATTCACAGGATAAAACAGTTGTTTTGTATCACTAATTGCCCAGTACGATTACAGCATACAGTATTATTGTCACTGCTACATTTCTGTGATGCTACCAGAAATTATTTCCACTACTAATTAATTACCGTTGAGCTCAAAGGTCCTATTAATAAACGGTTAACGAATGTGTATTTATGAAGACGATTTGTGAGACTGGTAAACTTATGATACGTACGATGGTCTTTCGTTCTACACGGTGCATTTCAAGGTCCTGCACCCATCCGTCGGTAAACTGTACCTGGGCTTGTTGCAGTGACCTGAAGTTACTAAACTTCATGAGTGTATGCACTCACTCCAAGAACCGTATGATTATAAATATGAGCGTGGTGAAAGTTGGGCAGCACGCTAACGTCTTTTGTCCCTCTGTGTGCTCGTAAGGGTCTGACCCTTTCACTCCTTTGATTTTTTTCCTCGTATCTTTTCTTTGTCTTTTCATCAAGTCTGTCTTTGTACGGACCGGCATTGTACACGTTTTGTACATAACATTTTGGGGGGCAAAGAAAGAGCAAGAATTTATTGGAACCGAAGAATGAACGTTTTGCGGTGCTGCAAATGCTTGCGTTGCATGCAATGTGTGAAAGTCACGTGGTCTGTCAATCTCTACTAGACCCTGACACAAGACAGAGGTTATATTGAATAGATGGAACAACTTACTTATAGCGTTACAAACATTACCTACGGTAGTTAACGTTCTATTTTGAGTTTCCTTTACGGTAATTCAACACACACTCACAACTTGACCCATGACACCTTAATGACTCCCATGATGACAGGGTGGGTCAACAACTCTCAGGATTACCTCCTAGGTGAAAACTCCACTACGCCATTTATTCTCTTTTGCTTATCCTCATCATGACAGCAGAGGAGGAGGAGTCTATCCCAGTTACCATAGGGCGAAAGGAAGGGTACACCTTACACAGGTCACCAGTCTGTCGCAGAGCTAACACAGAGAACCAAACAACCATTCAGACTGTGGGCAATTTAGAATTGGACTGGTAATCTGGCATAACGGGCCAATGGACCGGCACCAGCTGTACGAACACTGACAGCAGCCCATTCTTTCATTTAGACACTGTACTACCCAATCAAATCTCTTAATGCGATCAGCCCTTCCCCTACCTTCAGTGTGACCTCACACAGCTGGTACAAGACGTGAGGAAGAGACAATATGTAGATGGTATGATAAGCTATGTACATTAGACTATACGGCAAGATTTAAGAAAGGGCACTAACTCACGTACACACGAAGAAACTTCATCAATTGGTTTAAGTCTAAATAAGGGAACCGAGTCAGTCAGTGGTACCAAGTCTCATGTTGTGGTGGTGACGGTCCAAGAAATGTGACTGGTGCAAAACCAAGCTTTTACCTACTGCAGAAAGTGTCAGAAGCTGACACCGTGTGGATGCAAACCTGAATCTGTGGTCTTACCTGCACAGAAATGTGCATGTGCAATATTTGAGACCAGATACATTTCTGCAATTACACAGATTTGGGGGTTTAAATTAACCCTTTAAGACCTACCACAGAACCAAGTCCGCCAGAGCTTATATTATATTTTTACATGTTGTGGAGCCATTTTTGGGAGCATTTCAAGTTGCTATACATCAATACAACCATTATAGCCCAAATTCTAATAATATGTCTGCATTAAGTCCATAGTAACTACAGAAATTGTAAAAAAGTGCAATAAACTACAAAGAATTTGAAAATCATTTTTGTTTTTTTTAACATATATTTTTAGTTAGAGAAATTTAAGAGGCTTATCCCTCAAAACTGCAAATACAAAAAGTTGCACAAACTAGTTTCCTACCACAGGAAATTTATTTTAAGTGTCTTCATAGTTTTATTTTTGAAATACACCAATATTTATATACTGCAGGAAAAACGAAAAAACAATCCTATGATGCAAATTTGCAAAAAAAAAGCAGCATGTGCATCAAAATAAACTATTTCCAGCAGTGCAATATGAGTCCTCAGCATCCCAGAAATGACACAAAGTCATAAAGTCAAACATACCGTATTTCCCGGACTACAAAGCGCACCTGAATATTAGCCGCACAAGCTAAAATCAGGGGAAAATCCTGTTTTGTACATACATTAGCCGCACCTGACTAAAAGCCGCAGGTGTTTCAGTGTTGACTTATCATATGTAAGAGAATATGCACAAAGCGAATTGTCAGGAAAGAGATGGCTGTTTGGAGACATCACTTTTATTAATATTTTGAAAAACAAGTTACGGGTACATATTTGCACAACTTTTTAGGTATATGTACAAGTAGCGGTAATTACAAGTACGAAACATGTACTGTGCTTCATAAATGAGTAACAAATGTAGTACATAACAATAACCTACAGCACACCAGAAAAATAGATTCAGACTACCTTTTAGGCTCAGGTGCAGTGACACGTCTTTAACAAGAAGAAAAGTCAGTCATTCACCACCATCTTCCTGCGCACTAAAACCACCAAAGTCCTCTTCTCCAGTGTCGGATACAAACAGGCTCAGGGTGGCTTAGTCATCCACTCTCAGCTTCTTTCCTTCGTTGTCACTTTCAAAACCAAAGAAATCCTCGTTGTCAGTGTCGGAGTCGAACACCCTCAGAAGGGCCGTGGCGGTGTCCTCCTCTCCATCATGCAGCAGTCCAGCCCTTCGAAATCCGTTGGTGATCGTGGATGTTTTCACACTTTTCCACGCTGTCAGATTCCACCGGTGGAGTTGAGCATGACTTGCTTTTCGCAAGTTTATTGCCGCTCGTCATTCACGCCTCCGGCTGAACGTGTAGCGCTACTTTGAAGTTTGTTTTTCGCGCTACTTGTACGGCACTATGTTGCCTGGCGGATGGACATGTGACCAACATACCAATGGGGGCAGGGATAGCTCAGTAGGTAGAGTGGTGGCCCCATGATCGGAAGGTCGGGGGTTCGACTCCACTGAACGGCTACCCTGAGGTACCCCTGAGCAAGGTACCGTCCCTACACACTGCTCCCCGGGCGCTGCACTGGTGGCTGCCCACTGCTTCACTGAGTGAATGGGTTAAATGCAGAGGAACTATTTCCCTATGGGGACTAACACGCACACTTTACTTTTACTTTACTTTTACTCTTGAACCCCGATACTGTGGGTCTGATCACATGCCCTTCCGCCAGGCAACGTAGTGCCGTACAACAGCGGAACAAACAAAACAAATCGTCTTACGATATGACAAAAATCATGGATAATCCATAGAAAAGCCGCACCTGACTAAAAGCCGCAGGGTTCAAAGCTTGTGCAAAAAGTAGCGGCTTATAACCCGACAATTACGGTAACTTTTAAAAACACCAGTATAGGCTCATGAGGGCCCTGATGGTAAAAAACTACATTTCCGCAAAATGACGTCACTTCCGGTTTCGGGCAGGTCATGGTGGACATGCAAAAGTTCGTGCTGAAGTCTATTCCAACTTAGGAAGTGTTACGAACAGCTGATCGGATCGGCAAAGCGTGTTTCTGGAATATTATGTTTTTGTTGCTGCAAGTGCTTTTTATGCAGTTTTTGCAAAGCTTTATGTGGAAGGAAACTGTGACCGAGGACAAGCTGATGGCATCAGATGTAAGTACAACTCCTCTGGTTTCATATGCAAAAAAAATTATTGCGCTAGCTTAAGTGGTTGCAGAGCTACCGGGATTTTAAAAAAGTTACGCAACACGTAGCGTGCCCGCTCCGATCGGCTTTAAAGGGTTAAACAGAGGAGCTTTTTATTTTGTGTATTAGATACACCCTTGCTCTGCTCAACCTCCACAGAGAAAATGACAAAGTCAGTATGAGAAGAGGGACACCTCAGTGTCAACCATGTTCATTTAATTTTGTGAAACATACTGGGACTAATTCCAAAGTATGACTGGGAAGTGAGTGAGCAATTTAAAAATGTAAGTGGCTAATCGGATTTTTCAAATTAATGGTTCCAGAGAGACAAATATTTCTGGTGCTTGAATCCACTTTTGAAAGGATGTAGAGTTATCCGCAGCAGGAACAACAGGCACTTTAAGATCCTTCCAAATATCTTTTCTTCTTGCCACTGTATTCAAAAAACCTGAATCCTACTGACCAGCAAAGGAAAAACAAACAAAGAAACAGCTTACTTTTAAAGAGGTGATCTTATGATCAATTGCGATCAAGTGCATCCAAGTGTATTACAGTACCTAGCTGCTACTTAACCACTCAATTCCTATGGAAGCAGTAAGGGTGTGCTTAGTTTTTGACAGGCCTGCTTCTATGTATATTTTATGTTAAATAAATGTCATGTACTGTCGTTCATCAGTCTATAAAGCATTTCTAGCAGAAAAGCACTGAATAAGAGCCGGTCCTTATCTAGACTGTATTTAGCTCATTAGCCTGATGCTAAGGACCAGATTATGTTAATTATGTGCAAAAGAGAAAGTTGTTTTTTTTAGTTGTTAGTTTAATTAGTTCATGTGGTTATCAATCTGAACTTAGTTTATCTGATAATTTACCATTTTTTTAAAAAAAGGAGCGGAAAAAGTAATATTTACAAATGTAAGTTGAAGATGCTCGTGTGAATTCCCATCACACCAACCTGATTTAGAATGCAGAGTGAGAACAAACAACGTCAAGTTCAAAAGAGGAAAGATAAAAGTGGGATCTACCTGGGATCTTACCGAGGAGAGAACTGGAGTCTTTGCTGAAAGCAACGGCAACTGTGGGGTCAAAACTGGGCTGGCCATCACCAGCTGGCAGCTCAGGTCGGGTGTAGTCGCGACTCTTATCATTGTTGTACTTCACATTCAGGTTGACCAGCTTGGAGAAGTCAATACGGAGTGTGCAACAGGAATTGTAGATGTTCTGGCCATCCAGTGCCTAGGAGGAGGAAAATGACATCTGTGCTCAAGAGCTGAAAAGGTCGTTACACCATTTATATTATTGATGGTAGCAGCACGACGCCGCTTCGCTTAGTCTGGCACATTGACCATTTAACCATTAGCCATATTTTATGATTAACGTAGCTGCTACTGGACTGTGGTTAGATAAAAGATGAACAGCAGACTGAATACTGAGCCATGACAGAACAGATTACAAATCCATGATCATGCTGGCTGTGGGGGAACTGTAGATTCAATTCAATTCAATTTTATTTATATAATCACAACAACAGTAGACCCTATGATAATACATACAGAGAAAAACCCAACAATCATATGACCCCCTATGAGCAGCACTTTGGCAACAGTGGGAAGGAAAAACTCCCTTTTAACAGGAAGAAACCTCCAGCAGAACCAGGCTCAGGGAGGGGCGGCCATCTGCTGTGATTGGTTGGGGTGAGAGAAGGAAGACAGGGTAAAGACCTGCTGTGGAAGAGGGACATTAAGATAAGATGGGGCCTGATTATTAGATGAACTCTGCAGAGGCCAGAGCATGGATAACTAATGCAGGCAGGGCAGCCTGAGCTTTCAGGCCTGAGGACCAGAGGTGACGGCCTGAAAAACTGCAGACTGAGGGAAGCTGAAAGCAGGTGTGGACAACACAGTAAAAAGTAACTTTTCTACTTTCACAGTAACTTACAATCTTTTTGACAGTAAGCGCTCAGGTTTTTATATGATAAAATAAAAAAAATCTGAAACTTAAACACTTATTTTGTTAAATATAACTTATAAATGGGAAAATTGGATGAAAATTAACAGGCCAAGTTTTTCAAGATAAGACTTCATCACCTTTACTTATATTGTTGCAGGATTGGGGGGGTGTCAAAAATGATATAGAGTATTTTCCTAAGACTCATATAGAGTTTGAAAATCTAGTACTGGGACAATCCTATTAGACATGCAAGAAAACATGACCATACCAGTTTGGCCTGCTGTGCACTGACAGGATCGCTGAACTGCAGAAGAGCCTGGAACTGATTGTTCTTGGTGAACGTGATTATCTTCATGACTGTGCCAAACTTGGAGAAAATCTGTCAAGACAAAGAAACTGGAGGTTTCTTGTTCAGCCACAAGCAGCAAATACTTTTTGGTAACTGATGCCTACCTGTTGCAGTACGTCCAGCGTTACAGGGTAGAACATGTTATCAATAATGATGCGCAGCACAGGACTGGAAACTGCAGCCAGGACCTCCTGTACCTCGGACCCTGGTGACTGGGCTGCTGACACTGCTTGCAGCACGGCCTGGGTCCGCTACACCCGAACACAAGCACAGCACACAGCTATTAATGTAGATGGCAAATATCAAACGGGCACCTTCTACGGCTGTTGTTTTTTTTGTAATGATTCCAGATATTTCCAAGCATTTAATGCAGCCAAATAACAGCATGCAATCAAGCAGTGATGAGGCATACGAGTTGAAAGCACGTTTTAAAAACATGAAGCTGTGCAACAACTAACATATCAGTCTGTTAGTTTCCACTAACCTGATTAGCAGCATCAGTTTTGAGTTCTTTGTGATTGGAGTACTGAATAAACACTTGGATGTTACGGATAAGGGGAGTTACTTTGGAGTAGTAGTTAACCATAGTGACAGCTGCCTCCTCTGTCCCCATCTCCAAGAACGCCTGAACGTTAGAAGAGAAGGCAAAAGAAGAAAGAAAGAAAAAGCTGAATTTGTTGACTCACTCTTACTTGGTTATTTTAATAATGAAATTCAACATGTTGCAGTTCGACTGCGTTTGGAACAATTGTCAGATGCATTTACAGGCTGGTGTCTAAGAATGGCTTGTCCTGTGTGAATTTATCTGCGCTTTCAAATTGAGCCTAACAACTGTTTTGGATGAAATTATACAAATGCTAAACAGCCTGATTCACTTACCTGATTCTTTCCCTTCAGTGTGAGAATATTGGTTACTTTGCCAAAGGGGAGGCCGAGGGCAATGACCTCAGTCTCTGAGGCCTCGTTTGGCAGCTTCCTAATGTGGATCACACGAGACGGCAGGGCCTCCTCCACCCTTAGCTTCTTACTATCACTGCCATTGGGAGCCCCATCTAAGATTTCAGGAGAAATGCTGATTAACTGAAAGGTGCACTACAATGACACACTGGGATCTTAAAGGTAAAGCTCGTGATTTTCTGCTACTGTCAACAAATGTCGAGAATTAGAAACAATGAGGCAAACTTAAAAAAAACAAACAGAACATTTCCTGCATCAGCAAGTATGCTAGGATCCACACGGCACTGTGACGATTACAATGCGCTAATTTTTTGTGATGGATTTAATTGTGGAGACAAAACTGCAATGCAGTGAGTGAAAAGGATTATCCAACGAGTTGTTCAAGAACCAAGGAGGAAGTGTGGAGAGCGACAGGAATCAGCAGGTACAACTGTTTCAAAGAAGACCCAACTGAAAAATCTATGGAAGCTAAAGCTCAGAGTTCCTAGAAGGGGCCAACAGATCCTTCAGTTTAAGACTGTCCATGTGGAAGACTGGGCCAAAATCACTCGTGTAACTAGTTTCTCCATACAGGAGCCATCTTGAGTATTAAATAGCATTAAATACATTTCAGTGAGCCTGTTCAATAACTTTTTCCCAGTTCAAATGTTCCAAGACAGGACTGGAGCTGTTCCAGAGACTGAAAGTGTGGCTGCGTACAGCGAGGAACAGTTGAGCTTGTGTCTAGAGCAGGGCGATATGGCCAAAAATATTTATCACGATATATATTTGAAAATTTGCGATAACGATATAACCGACAATATAATTGATGCGAGACAAAATACAACTCCACAACATTACTAGCGCAAAAAGACAACCTTCCATTTATTTTCACTTAAACAAGAAGCTGGTTTTTATGTACATTAAAGCTTTATAAAAATGTAACAGTGCAAATGCAAATTCCTTGCTGAAAGTTTAACCAAAAGGCATTTCCAGTAGAAATGGGCTGACATATCCTGAGCATAACCATATATAATATCCACTGAAGTTAAAAAGAGGTGCTTTGCAACATTAAACTGCAGTGTGCAGTACGTATTTTTCGGACCATAAGGTGCACGGGATTATAAGGCAATTTAAGCGAAACAAAGCAGTCAGATAAATCAAACTTTATTAAACTCATTCTTCTTGCTTCCTCCACTTCTGTACCATTGATTCATTAATGTTGAATTCTCTGGCAGCTGCTCTATTCCCATGTTGTTGCAGTATATTAATGACTAACCTCGTATTGTGGATGGATTATCTCAGTTGTTCTCCTGACTGAAGTTTGGTCCGTTTACAGCATCCTGCCATGCGATTGCATTTGTCTCTAACCATGAAGAACCTTCACGTTAACTTTTATAAGTGGAAAAGTGTTAGTGCTTCACTGTTTATGTTATGCTAACATAGCTGTGTCGCTAGCGATCACATAGCACATCATTATATACCAGCTAGCCCAACTTCAGTAACCCTACAAATGTCACTGCTGTTTAGTTTCCTGTCTTCATTTATGTTGGAAGTGATAGCAGAGCTGTACGTTTGATTTTTTTCAGAAATCTCTCAGTCAGAACATGCAATATCATGCTTAGGTAACTAGCGAAACTAGCGAGCTAACTTCCGCTAGCTTCCTGCTAACTTCTAACTCCGTTAAATGTAATAACTTTTGTTTTCATGGATGCCTGGAAGTTAAACTTTATAGTTACACCTGGTAAAGCAGCAATGCTGATCGTTTTATTAAAGATGAAAGAATTTAGACAGTTTTTAACTCTAAGTGATGCTGCAGTGTTGTTTGACCTGAAGTATACGGAGTTTAGGACCCAGATTACTCCCAGATTTAAGAGCATCTTAGACCGACAAATACGACAATAACGACGGCCGCTTGCATGTTCTGCAAAAATATGTGCTTTGTTGTGTATCTGACGGACAAACACCAAACCAGTTCCACATCACTGAAGTTGCACCATTTTTACAAACCAATTCTGGTTCATCTGTTTCACTCAACAATCGGCCATGTGCGTATGAAAACAAAGGCACTGCGCATGCGCGTTTTACTCCCATTCTATCGCGATATTTCATTTTCCTATCGTTGCCTAACATTATACCGGTATTACCGTGAACGGTATAATATGGCCCAGCCCTACTTGTGTCCAGATAGATCCTTGTGAAACAAGGAAACTCCATCAGAGTATCGAAAGCTGGCATACAGGGAAGTTCAACTGCACAAGGAAGCTGGCAGATATGCTTAGGCCGTGTCACAAACTCAACAGGGGCGGTGTGGGAAGTGGAAGAACATCAGAAAAACCTTCATGCATGGAATGATAACATTTAAACAGAGAGGAGGGATATCCTCCATGTCTGTTCCAGCCACTGGCTATGGTGTGTAGGTGCCCTCCTACTAAGGAGCGTGATGTTACCCACCAAACAGCTCTCTCCACCTAAACTCATGCAGCCTACTTCACCTAATCCTTAGGTCTGCTGTATCAACTGGCTGCATGCAAATTCCATCAATCCCCTCAGAGTTCATGGGCGGTTGGAACGAACTCACCACTGTTACTGCTCATGCCAGAGTTGGAATTGTTGTACATACTCAGCTCATCCGATCCTCTCTGTGGAAGGAAAAGAAAACAGCATCAGGCACTGCTGAGAAAAAGACTTTCCTGACAGGCCCTTGAAGACAAAACATCACACTAATGGTTTCGCTCCTCTGCCTGTGTCAGTTTAAATTGCTAAAAGTAAGATGTAGGGATGTGTCATCTCACCCTGAGCTATACAAGGTCTCTGAAGGCCTGCTGGCACTGCCAGGCACCCTCTGCTCTTAAACCCTGACTGATGGGGTGGCAACCAACATAGCTAGGGACCCATCTCACACACAACTTTCTAATAGTTTCATATCCCACCTCCTTGTGGAGGTGTCGCCGAATTTGAACTGTTTGTTCTTCTGTCACTTGCAGGCTCAGCTACAGAAACATGGTACAGATCAATTCAAAGGGGAAAAGTAGCCCGAGTAAGGCCAAAATGGTGAGCACACAAGTGTCACAGCCAACAGGGTAGGAGTAATGGGTCTTCTAACAGCTGGAAGCCCTCTGGTCTTTGCCTCAGACACTGAAATACTGATGAGAAACTCATTTCCCAGGAGCACACTATCAGAACAATCTGGCAGTTCAGCCTTTACACACCTTAATGTACCTGGCACTCAACAAATAAGATTAGCTGCCCGGAGCAGCTAAACGCATTCACGAGCAAACAAGTGTGAAATGTGGAGTAACTTTTCCACATGCATATTTACTGGAGCAATATAAGGTTTCAGGTTCACCCATTCTTATCCTCAGTCTGAATAAACACACTGACACAATAACTGGGAGGCACATGTCAGATTAAAACACGGATGTTTTCAAGTGGAACTTGTTTAATAGTCAAAGCACATGAATCCATCTGTTAACCGATAGCAAATAAGTCACACACATATTTTTCTTTCTTGCAACACATTAGAGCTTCAGATATGATTATTCAGAATTTAAATAGAAAACAACATTAACACTTATTCATGTTTATGAATGGACTCCATCATTCCCTGAATTAAACATCATCTACAGGTTGTGGATGATTAGTGGTTAGTTCAATACTGCAGGATAAAAGTTCTATTCCTAAGAAAATGTAATATTAAGCTCAAACAGCATGCTCTTAGGAAACAGTATACATACAACAGTCATTACTAATGCAGCTTCTTCCTTGCCATAAGGGGTCACCACAGCAAGTAGCGTCACCTGTTTGATTGGGCAGTTTAACACCCGATGCCCTGCCTGAGTTTGAACCAACAACCTTTCACTTGTCAAGCAAACTTATTAACCACTACACCTTGGAGCTATGCTAATGCAGCACACACACAGACAAAAACAAACAAAAGACCACCTGCTTCATTTTTGGTGGTCTCCAAGTTCTATATACCCCCATCTAGGGATTGGAACCGAGAGCCGGTTCTTGTAGAGAACAGGAGTCTGTTTCTACCTGTTAATTACTCCCAGGAGGATTAAGTAAAGTACTGCGTTACTTGTTTTCAGTTCAGTTTATTTATACAGCACTAGAGCTGGGCGATATATCAAAGATTTATCGTTACCGAAATTTATGACTCTCATCGACGTCATTTTGCCCATGTCGGTAAATTCGGTATTAAAAAAAAGAAAGAAGAAAAGGCATGTGCAGGTTGGCGATGTTCATGTCCCTTTAAGACGCTGTGCTACGTTACAGACTTGACGGGGTGGAGTCACATGACT